GGAGAGGGGTACGTATGCACATAGTTCAGTGTTCCCGTAGAAACATAGCCAAATAGGTCCAGCTTGAGGAAAGTTTGCAATGTATTACAAAACTACTAGAGGGCATGATGGCTCACCAGTAAGAGATGCTGAACCAGGTTTGAGACTCGAGCTCTGTGCAACAAAGGTGAGCACCCGTTACTTGGCCCATTTCCTGCCCACCAGCAGTTTGAAAGCAGGCAAATGTGAGCAGATAAATGGGTACCACTTTGGTGGGAAAGTAATGGCGTTCTGTGTGCCGCAGCATGTAGTCATGCTGGCCACATGACCATGAAATACCATACATAAAAACAATGCTGGTTTCCTTGGCTAAGAAACAGAAATGAGCACCGCCCCCTAGAGTCAGAAATAAGTGGACACAGGAAGCCCTCACCTTTAACCAGATTACCAGGATTGGACTATAACGTTGGTATATAGTGGAAGGGGCAGGTAGGTTTTTTTTTCCCTTGTAAGCTAGGATTGTTGATTGAGAATCCTGGGAATTGTAGTTCTTAGGCTGTTCTTTCCTTTGTTCTCTTGGGAGATCACACAGCAGCAGGCTGCATCATCGGATCGTTAATCGAGCAAGACAATTTTGCAAGATCTTATTGTGTTGCTTTCAGGTTTTATTGTTACTAATAAAATTGTCCTGGGAGAGAATTCCAATATGGTATCACATCTGGGTTAAAGACATTTATTTATAATACGAAAGAAGAGAAGCCATTGCAGAGGATAACACAGCTTTAAGGAGACTGTGTTATAACACATAAGTATTCATGTTCCTACACTCTAACGAAGTGTATAGGAAACATGTAGGACCAAACTAAAGCACCCCTCCCCCTTTCTTTTTCAGCAGGACACCAGGAAACTGCCAGAACTCTGCCAACGATGTGGATCTTTTAGGGCCAAACCAGAATGGATCAGAAAGCTTAGCCCAGTTAGCTAGTACTAATGGTGCCAAGCCTGTGGAGGATTTCTCTAACATGGAGTCCCAGAGCGTTCCTCTGGATCCCATGGAGCATGTTGGCATGGAGCCACTTCAGTTTGATTACTCCGGCACACAAGTACCCGTGGATTCTGCTGCGGCAACGGTGGGCTTGTTTGATTACAACTCGCAACAACAGGTAGGCACTGTTGCATTTATCGATGCCCTTTTCCAGCCTCCCCACCTGACTTCAGTGGATTTGCACAGTCACACACCATCCCCATTTAGCGGAAATAGCTGTGTGTATTCACGTCCATGTGGATTAAACAGTTGGGTTTCCCTAACCCTTTTCTTCTACTCTGGATACCTGCATTTCACGCCTGTCTGCTGCTGCTGATATAAAGATGAGATATTAAATATTCTGTCCTCTCTCCCTCCCCCCTCTCTCACTCTCTCTCTCACACACAGGATGTATAGGTTATAAGCATTCATTTAGGAAATGGGTGTCAACACAGTTGTTACAGCCAAAAAACATAAACCTAGTGAGTTATTATAAAGCTTTCTCTACAGCTGATTGTGTCATTCTATCGTTACAGTGAGCCTTTTCTGGCCCTATGCATTATTGTGGCAATAAATGGAAGTATCTTTAGAGAAATTTCGATAAATAAATGCATCCTAATGTATGATAACAGCGAACTGAGTTATCACTTGGGGACCCACATAGTAGTTAGTCTGAGATTGGAAAAAAGAGAAAGATGGCTAGAAAGGAAGTTAAACAAAAGGGAGCAACATGGAAGCTTCCATTAACCTTCACCAGAATGACAAGTTTTAGGCATCGGAAGAATTGCCATTTAATAGAATCTGCAGGGTCCCAGGTTATTTCCCCCCTATTATAAAAGGTAACCATGATTGGGACCAGTGGCCTAGGAGCTGTCACTAAGCAGAATTGCAGCTGTGCTTATTATGTTCAGCTTTGCTTTACTTTACAGGCCTGCAAAAGTTATAAATGTGAGGATCGTTGGCAGAGTTACGCTTTCATCCCTGCGAATAGTTGCTGTGCAAGGCAATCGCTATACAAAGACTACCTTTATTTATTTGTCAGAGGGATAGCACTATGGGCAGAAACAGACTAGGTTAAATGAGCTCTTGGCATTAAGAGCATCAGTAAAATTGTAAAATTAACGTCTCTTTTTAAAAAAAATGTTTGTTTCTCAGCTGTTCCAAAGACCGAATGCACTTGCTGTCCAGCAACTGACAGCAGCCCAGCAACAGCAATATGCATTAGCAGCTGCCCATCAGCCTCACATAGGTAAGCCTTCCTAGTCATGGATGGGTAAAAATCTGATCCCTTTCTTTGTTCCATTCATCACTTTGTCAAGTAACTCTGAAGATGGTGTTCATTTGCTCCCCCCCCGCCCCCCCCCCAAAAAAAACTGTGAGGATAAAGCAGAAACGATTATGTGATTTTTTTATAGGATTTTTATATCCTTACCTTCATTGTGTCTGGCAGTGATGATGCTCTTGCCCTCACTGAGACTGTGAGTCTATAATGAGAACTTTTATTGGAAGGACTCGTTGCCTCTGAGCCAGACATGAATTAAGCTATTTAAGAGATTTAACTGAGAAACGCATTCTCCTGCCTCATATTTCTCCTGAAATAACCCCACATAATGTTTGCCCAAGAACTGCCAATCATTTAAATAAGACTGAAGACAAACGGAAGAATGTATGCCTTATTATGGTGGGGGGAGGGTTTATAGAGCTGTTCCAAAAATCAGACGTATGTAAAATGCCTTATGTAATTATTTAAACAATGGGAAAAATCCCCCCCCCATTTTATAGTTTAAGCTCTCTTTTTATTCTAATTCAAAAGGTGTAGATTTCTTAACAGAAGATCTCTGTAGATTTTAAAACTCTTGTCTTAATGCCCTGAACGATCAGAGATAGATTGCTTGCACACATGCATGCACACACACACACGCACACCCTGCGGAAATTGTTCAGTGGGGTTTGTTTTCACTGACAGGTATGTTTTCAGCAGGTTTAGCCCCTGCTGCCTTTGTGCCCAACCCTTACATCATCAGCGCTGCTCCACCAGGAACGGATCCCTACGCAGCAGGACTTGCGGCTGCCGCAACTTTAGGTGAGTTGCTTCAAAATGCTCTCTGCTCTGGGACAGAAGCCCCCTCCCCACGCTGCCCACGCCTACGCCCACCCCTAAATACTCGAGGCTCCAAGGGACCGTCTTCCTAATGCCTCACAGAACCAGCTGTGTATCTTGAATCACAGTACCCTTCCCAGTTTGCTGCCTTCCCTTGCATTGTCCCAGAGGTGCTTTTTTTTCAAGAGGCAACTGGACTTTCTGGTTTTACTGCGAAGACGTTTTGTTTCTCATCCAAGAAGCTTCTTCAGCTCTCAGAGAAAAAAAAAATCCAGAAAGTCCAGTTGCCTCTTGGAAAAAGCACCTTTGGGACAACCATGACCTGGATGACTTGAGAATTTCAGGTAGACTTCCCCTGCATTGGATTTCAGAGCATCATGTTGTAGAAAGTAGGGAAACCGAACTGATCCAAATATGTTGTTTAGCTTGTCCAGACTCTTAAGCAGTTAGAGCACCGTATCTCTGGGCTGAAAGTATAAGCGTCTCAGGTGAAATATATCTGCCAGTAAGCAAGTACTTGTTCTGGGTGATATGGTACAATTACAGGTACTCCACGATTGAGCCCAACATTTCTGTTGCTAAGGGAGACATTTGTTAAGTGATTTTTGTCCCATTCTACGGCCTTCCTTGCCACAGTCAAGTGGAATCGCTGCAGTTGTTAGTGACAAAGTTGTTCACTGAATCTGGCTTCCCCATTGGCTTTGCTTTCCAGAAGGTCACAAGAGATGATCACGCAAGCCCAGGACACACTGCAACCAGCATAAAATATGAGTCCATTGTCGAGTGTCTGAATTTTTTTTAATCACGTAACCCAGGAATATGGTCAAAAGTGTGAAAAGAGGTCATAAGTCACTTTTTTTCAATGCCGTTGTAACTTTGAATGGTCACTGAATGAACTGTTGTAAGTCGAGGATTATTTTTGCCTAAAACTGTTCTAAAGTTTTTTTCTAAATTTTTTTTAAAAATTGGGCACGTGGCAGGGATACCGTCTTCATCCCCTCTCCTCTTGGGCCAGATGGGGTTCCACTTAAGCTACCTAGCTCTTTGTTTGTCTTGTTCAGTTAAGGGCAGACTGATTTGAGCTACAAATCCCTGTGGTGCTACTTCGTAAAAGATAAAGCCAGTCCTTTGTCAATGTTTTAGGGCCTGCCGTTGTCCCCCATCAATATTACGGAGTCGCTCCCTGGGGAGTTTATCCCGCCAGTCTTTTCCAGCAACAAGCTGCTGCCGCTGCTGCCACAAACTCCTCCAATCAACAAACCTCTCAGCAGACCCAGCAAGGGCAACAGCAGGTAAGAGGAATTACTTCAAAAACAGCACATTCCCCCTTGTAGTAGGTAGGTGCGATCTGGATGGTGATGACTCGAGACTCCCTTGGTAGGTTTCCCACTGAGCAGTCTCCTTATTGGAGACAAATCCGCAGTGCTAGCAAACTGTTCAATAAGTAGTTCCAAGTCCGAAAATGATCAGTGGGATTTGTGTGTTGGTCTTCGATTATGAGAAAGAATCTCATTGGTGTGTACACAAGAGGAGGAGAGGCAGAGAACAATGGAAATAGGGCCACAAATATGTGCAAAAGTTCTCGTTTACAGGCAGTTCTTAATTGGGTTCCAGGATCACATTAAGCCATAATGTGGTTGTGATGTAGTGTATTGTATGAACTCCCTGGTTGGGTTTGTTAATCATGATTGATGGTTTAGTATGCTCTATCAATCAGATAAAATATATGCATATCTATCCTCAAAATAGATTATCTGTCTAGATTTTTGGCACGGCGATTGGCAGACTAGAATAATATATTTGATTGCAACAGAATAATCATTTGTTAGTGTGGTTTCACGTGAGGACTAGGAAACACAGGTTAATTTATTTTTCCAAGTCCTCGAACTCAAAAGGTCCAGCAGTGATGATACTCTTGCCCTCACTGAGAACATTGTTCTGTAATGAGAATCTTGTAATGGACTCAGATAAGCTGAGCTGGACCTTCTTAAACAACACATTGCTGTTACATTAAGAGTTTATCATCTCTTTTCTGCCCAATGCACATGGATATATTGACGGTTTTTCTCCAGATAATTTACTTAAGTATGTATTTTTATAAGTTCCCATATATACAAAACAGTTATCAATTGTTGTCATTGTTGTCATAATGGTTCACTATTTAGAACTGAAATAAAATAGGACAGAATCTCATTGTGGTAGCCATGAATTTATATGTATTCTTTGTATTTCTTGCAGCAATCCATTAAGACTAATTATGGATAAAGATGAGGAGTATTAAGTTCAGTTAATTATACTCAGCCACGAAAATCCTTGAGTACCTATCAATGGTGTCATTTCAGGCTACAAACGCTCCATAAAGGAAACTCCATGTTTATTTATTTATTTTTTTTGAACGAAATCAGCAAGGGGGAAAATCTTGATTTTTACTAGAAGGCCATTTCAGACAACAGGTGTTGCTCTTGAAAACCAACCCTGACAGGGTCCCTTAGCAACATTTCCCTTGCAGCCCAGCATGTTCTCCACCCCTCCTGTTTGTTTGTTTTTTTTTTTAAAATCATTTTAGAAAAACAGCCCTGAGAAGTGGCATGCTTTAAAGCAGAATTGTAGCCTTAAGCCTAACCTATATTTCTAGCGAGACATTCTTAGAAGGTTGTGAGTCAATAGACCAGAACAAAGATATGGCAGAACCATCATTGGAATCTAGCAGGAATGGTGAAGAGCAGTTGAGGAAATTGATGTTTTTATAAAAGAATGTGCAAATTTTGACTGACCAATAAATTTTCCTGTAGCCCAACCTTTACATTTCCTGTTCTACAGGAAAAAAAGCAACTGTCCATTTTTGATTTTGCATATATGACATTCAGCGAAGGTGCTTTAGAGGAGATGGGTGGTTCCCAAAGATAACAAATAAAAAGGAATGTTCTGTGTTAATTGCAGCATGTTGTTTTCCGCTCTTGATGGTGCTGATACCTACTACCTCTTTGCTTTTCTCCAAGGTACTCCGGGGGGGAGCCAGCCAGCGCCCTTTGACCCCAAATCAGAACCAACAGGGCCAGCAGACGGATCCTTTGGTGGCTGCAGCAGCAGTGAATTCAGCTCTTGCTTTCGGGCAGGGGCTGGCAGCAGGAATGCCAGGTAGGAGCTTAGGATTTTCAGAAGAGCAGAGGGGCTCAGAGTGGGGGCAACCAAAAAAAAGAACCAGTGTTGTAAAGACGACTCCTTGTAACAGCCTCGTCTGTCTTCCTAGGTTATCCAGTCCTGGCTCCCGCTGCCTATTATGACCAAACAGGTGCTCTTGTGGTGAATACAGGGGCAAGAAATGGCCTTGGAGCTCCTGTACGACTAGTAGCTCCTGCTCCTGTTATCATCAGCTCCTCAGCTGCACAAGCAGGCAAGTCTTGTTTAGATACTCTCTGTGGTAGCACAGGGATTGGATGCATAGTGATCTTAGCAGCTTTATGAAACTGTTACCGTGTTTACCTGAAAATAAGACCTATCCCCAAAATAAGACCTAGCTTGATTTTTACATGTGCATATAAGCCATACACCCCCAAATAAGCCCTAGTGAAGACTCACCCACCCACTCTGTAGCACCTGGTTGCACAAGGTGGAGCAAGGTGCATGGGTAAAAATTAAGTTAGGGTGGGGATAGGGGGGATGGAGCTGCCCTACTTACCTTAGGACAGTTGCAGCCAGGCCTCCCATGCCCTGACACCTGCCTCACCTTGCCATCCTACTTCTTCTGCCGCTTGCGCGCATTGCCCCTAGAGTCCGTTTCACCATCAAGAGTCCTTCAGGAAAGGCCTCTGCAGCCGAGAAATGACCTCCGGATTGATGTGCATTGTGCCTCCTGGCCTCCAATTCACAGCCTTTCCTGAAGCCACATGGGCTTCTGGGTGGGGCTATTGGTGCTGCCACCGCGAGGTGAGACGGTGGAAGACATCCCCCGAAAATAAGACCTAATGCCTCTTGGAGGGGAAAAACGAGACTGGGTCTTATTTTCAGAGAAACATGGTAGATACAATGGGTATCAAAATCCAAAGGGAACATTGATGGTTGTATATAACTTCAAATCCAGAGAAAATATGAAATATATTTTTCAACATGGAAAAGACATCCTGCCTGGGTGAGCAAGAAGGTACTGTCCCCATGTAGCGAACTGGGCCTAGCCCTCCTTCCCTGCTAATTCTCTCATGGACACGAAACTAGTTTTTAGTTTCAATGCACGTGAACCTAAGTTGTAACACATAAAGCAGGAATCCTAGTTTAAGTGTTGAATGTGCCGTCTTCCAAGCTTCAATGGCTGTATTTGCACCTACTTAATTAGGATTTTTTTAATTTAAAATTTTTTTTGAGTGTTTGTTAAATAAGCAATAGTGGCTAGTGGTTTTCATGGTTTGTTTTAGAAAGCTAAAAGAGTTTGTTTTAAAGTACAATTCCTGGTTTACATGTAAGTAAGTTCTAAAGTGCCCCAGCAGCAAAAGTACTTTCCTGTTTGCAAAGTCAAAAGAAAAGAGAGGCGGGCAGGGACTGTTAGGTGGAAAGCTGTTCTGCTCTCGTGGCAGTTTCCCATGGTTTAATTTGATTTGCCAGGGCGATACACTAATCCTGTTCAACCAACAGTTTAGAGATTACTGCTCCGAAGTGATACATAAAAAATATTGATAGCCTTTCCTGAAAATGAATTTGGATAGATAGCATTCTGTAAAATAAATGCTGTATTGATTCAGGCTGTGTGAGGTTTCCCATTCTTTGACTTGTTATTCCTCCCCCTTCTTTCTCTGCGATAGCGGTTGCAGCTGCAGCAGCTTCAGCAAACGGAGCTGCCGGTGGCCTCGCAGGAACGACCAGTGGACCATTTCGACCTCTCGGGACTCAACAGCCGCAGCCGCAACAACAGCCCACCAGCAATTTGGCCTCCAGCTCCTTTTATGGCAACAATTCCCTAACTAGCAATTCTCAGAGCAGCTCGCTTTTTTCTCAGGGCTCTGCCCAACCTGCCAACACTTCCCTCGGCTTTGGGAGCAGCAGTTCCCTTGGTGCTACCCTGGGGTCTGCGCTGGGAGGCTTCGGAACAGCAGGTAGGAGCAGCAGCTCTCCCGAAGTGACGAAACAATGGGCATTGATGTCTTGATGCAGCAGGAGGGAATAAGAACCTTGATGTAGGTCAGTTCTGAATAAGGCTCCCTGTTCTGAGTAGATCCAGGAAAGATCCTTTAGGGCAGAGGTGTCAAACTCAAGGCCCAGGGCCCGAACCCGGCCCCCCTGGGTGCTTAGATCTGGCCCACGGGGCTGCCCTGGAAATAGCGATGGACGGCCTGTGGTGCCTCTGCCAGAGAAAACGGGGTGTGCAGCCCTCCTGAGCTCTGTTTTCGCTGGCAGAGGGTTGCAGGAGGCCGGCACAGCTGAAAACGGAGCTTGGGAGCCCGTTTTTTTCTGGCAGAGTGCTCGGGCCGGCACAGGCACCCCTGACACGAGTGATGTCGAGCTGGCCATGCCCACCCTGCCCTCCCAAGGTCAAACACAACCCTGATGTGGCCCTCAGTGAAACCGACACCCCTGCTTTAGGGCATGTTAGTTAGACAGGACAATTAATCGGTGGAACAACTTGCCTCCAGAAGTTGTAAAGGCTCCAACGGTGGAAGTTTGAAAGAAGAGATTGGATAACCATTTGTCTGAAATGGTGTAGGGTTTCCTGCCTAAGCAGAGGATTGGACTAGAAGACCTCCAAGGTCCTTTCCAACTCTTATTATTCTAATGCAGGGGTGTCAAACTCTAGGCCCAGGGGCAGGATCCTGTGCCCGCAGGGTGCTTAGATCTGTCCCATGGGGCTGCCCTGGAAACATTGAAGGACCAGCTCATGGTGCCTCTGCCAGTGAAAACAGAGCTCAGGGAGGCTGTGCAAGGCGCACCCAGGCTCCATTGTTGGCTGCGATGGCCTCCTGCAACCCTCTGCCAGTGAAAATGGAGGCCTGGGGAGGTTGCATGCTCTGTTTTTGCTGGTAGAGGGCTGCAGGAGGCCATTGCTGCCGAAAATGGAGCCTCGACAAGTGAGGTCGAGCTGGTCACGCCCACCCTGGCCATGCCCCTCAACCAACCCCCCCTCCCCCCACGATCAAACACAACCCTAATGTGGTCTTCAGTGAAATCAAGTTTGACGCCCCTTTTCTCATGGGACAAGGGTCCCCCGACCCCCGATCCAGGGACTGATACCAGGCCGCAGCATGGCAGAAACTGGACCGCACAAACGAAGCTCCATCCGTGGGATGCAGGCAGCATGCAAAACTATGCCCCCTCCAGTCTGTGGGAAAAACTTCTCTCCACGGAACTGGTTCCTGGTGCCCGAAAGATTGGAGGCCGCTGCTTTGGGACAGGATCCTGGCTTACGCATTGTACTAAAGGCACAGTTTTCTCAGGGTATCTCAAGAATTGGGTTCACAGCCCTATCAAACAAATCACAAAAATCTCTCTGTGAGGGAGGTTGTTGGTGGTTATATATGACAAATAAATATAACTTAGTGCGTTGTGTTAACACAGCCCATATTTCAATTTATTGATATCTATGTATGAAGGAATATTTATTGCTATGTTTGTTTGCATTCTCCTTTTTTGTGGTCTTCCCTATTCTATTTAAACACCTTGAAAGTATTACATTAAAATTGTGACTAACCCAAGGTTTCCCAATAAAATTTGTTCCGTGCTCTGAATCTCAGTACCGTATCTCACTCAATTCTTTGCTAAATTGCTGAGAAAGTATTTCTCAGGGAAAATTAAAAATCTCAGAGAAATGCCATATCCCTTTCAGTAATTTGACCCCTCAATTCTGTAAATCTCAGGTGAGAAAATTAAAACAATGTGTAAAACAGGATGCTGGCATTCTAACAAGATTTTGATTTCAGAGTTTTTCAGATTAAAAAAACTATTATTTAATGTGGAGAATGCTGTTTGAAATTTGGACACCTTCCTGTCATGCCTGTTT